ATAAAATGTCACAAGAGTGTGACAAACATACAAAAGAAGTAGAGGAAAATGACGATAGTAAGGATTAGGAAAGAAAAAGCAGCAGTTCCCTGTTGCAGTTCAGGCACAGTTATGAGCATGACATTGATGAATCAGCCCATTTACAATTACAATTCTACTGTGCATAAGAACTCGTTAATGTCCCCCCCTTTGGGAATGGCCTAAAGACACTTCAGTCAGTAGCACACTCCCCCGGGGGGTATGTTACGTGTTTGAATACAAAGAATATAATATAATATGCATGTAATGAAAAAAAAATAAATCTGCATCTGAAAATCAGTGAGCTGTGTGTGTGTTTTGCTATGAGTGTGTTCACTATGTACTTGCTACATTGCATTATGGAGATAGAATTCAAGAAAAAAAGGAAAAATCAGATTTTATGCAAATCTGATCCAGTTTCCCCGACAAGTAAAAATTAGATTTTCTAACAGTGTTCGGTTTAAGCAGACTCCACTGTATTCATTTTTTGAAAGTAAAACATCTTCTCGGTGTACAGGCCAGATATTGTCTGAATTGTAGTCTACGCTGAGTCAGGACAATGGCAATCTAGGACAAAAGCACCCACAAACCATCCACGTTGAACCAAAAAGTGATATTAGGATACAAAAATACATGAGCATGTACCTAAAATAAAAATCATGAGGTAAAATCCCCTTCAAGCTAAATAAAGGTGAATTTCACCTCCATAATTACATGCACAAAAGACAGAAAACTATAAAAGTGTCATGCTTTGATATCGCTATGCAATGGCTCTATAAATATCATAAACTTGTTGCCCACATGCCTTTAGCACGACATCCCAAAGCTTAGGGCTATTAGACCATCATGTATTGTTTGGAACTCCTCTACATTCATGACTGTTTGTTGACAGTCTTGCTGTCAATTCTTTGGAATACATCTGCTATTAAAGAGAAATAAAATATTAAATAACTTCCACTTAATTGATCCCTTTGGAAATTTGTTTTATAATGGTGTACATAAAAAAACAACAACAAACATATTGACACAAAAATGCATGAATAATACACCACAATGTATCAAACATAGACATTCTATACATCATTGATGATTCATACTGTGAAGTGCCCTATTTTTGAGCTAGGGTTATAGTGCATTATTGCTCAAGGACACATTTCAGTGACCACAGCTAAACTCTGAGTCACTAACACACACTTGACTTGCTTTTATTTACGAAGCCTTGAACCAAAACTGAAGAGTAGACGCTCACATCTTTTAAAAAAGGAATTGGAAAATACTGGCTCAATTCTTGAGTATTTCAAAACGTTACATGACATATAAATCAAAACCAACAATTTTTATGAATTCTGAAGAACAAAATCATGAAAATCCGGCTCTGTCATGCTCTCAGGAGTACTGATTGCTATGTTTATTCAAATTTTCAGAGCTGAAGTGTGTGTGTTTTATTCTATCAGAACCATATATGATATATAGATATAGATAATATCAAATAGGTGAACGTTGCTTATTCTTCAGCTAGAAATACAATAGATTACGTACAACAGCAATGTAATCCCCATCCTTATTCTGACTTCACTTCTCACCAAAATCAAATAATTATTGTTCATATCACAAGCAGATGTGTAAACCATATAAAAAAACATGGAAAAAGTGAGAGGCACTTCTTTACCGAGACATTAAGTTGGACAACTTTTTAAAAACAAAACACAGTCAAACCTGTGTAAAACGGTCAGCCATTGTCAAGGAGAAAAGTGGCCGGATAACATATGTGGCAGTCTTAGGCAAGAATGATCAAAATGAAGAAAACAAATCATTCTCTTCTGAGGTCCAAACCGGGGCTGATCTCTGGCATTAGACTACTGTAAGGCTAATTCAAAAGGGTTTTTGTTTCCTTTCGGAAAAAAAAGGGATGGATGGTGTAAGACGGGCTTTTAGTGTTGTTGTTTTTCTTGGCTAGCTTTCTTTTTGTTGCCGGTTTCGAGTAAGGGTAAAATAGACAAAACATTATGTAAGTAAGATGATGAAGACTGAGTGCCATTGTAAAATAAATACACGCCGTCGCCACCACTCGGAGAACGAAAAACGTTTCTGTCGCAAATTCATGTCAACGTCCATTGTTACTTTGTTACAGATTAGGTAAACAAAACATTGACCAGTCACCTTACACACGATTTGTGTACGAGTTGTGGGCGGGGCTTAAAATAGGTTATGATGGATCACGCTTCCCTCACCAACAGTTGAAAATTTATTGTTAGGCCTACCCATTGGTCAACATGGGCAAACATTCATTGCAGGGACTAACAATAACTACAGGTGAATGAATTATGGCGGCCCGTCCACAACGGGAGGGGCCGATTCAAAATTTATGACAAAATGTCGGACAATGAGTGACCACACCTGGCCCAGGCAGATAAATTAGACTGTGGGTTGATAAAAAAAGGTGACCGCGGCCACATTGGACAGGTGACTGTATTACACAGTTAAATTTTATAGAAAAAACGCAAGGGGGGAAACGGAATGAGGTCGTTTGTACAAGTGGCCGTATTATACAGGTGGCTGTCATGGTAGGTTCGACTGTAAATGTTCAATGAAAGCACATTTTTCGTATCAGTTGAGAAAATTTATACATGAAAATTCCAGGATCATTTTCTCTTTTTGCCTTTTACTCATTCAGGATGATGATATAATTAGCCTAATCACACAAAAAAAACCAATACTGTGAAAGTAACAGTAACAGTTTATCTCTGATGCTTTTAAGTTCTTTGCTAATTTATTATTAGCACGCCACTCTAGAAAAATACCCTGTATGTTAAAATAAGAGAAAAAAAGTTCAGTCATGATGTTGTGTCAATTCACCAGAAGATTAGATTACCAGCTTATGAGCTTTGAGTCATAGAGAGCCCAGCTTCGTCCCTACAATAACATGGCGGACATGCAACTAGCATGAGAACTCTACTAAGTGTATCCCTGATTTTTCATCAAGAAACCTTATGGAGCTCATTGAAAGCATAATATTGATTTATTACTGTGCTCATATAATGTCACCTTAAAGTACAGTTCTTACAAAGTTTAGACTACTGATCAATTAAAGCCATATATTGAACGTACATTTTTGACTGAAAAATAGAATAAAAAGCCAATGACTCATATTGAATTGTTAACTGACTATTAACAAAAGAGATTACATTATTGTAGCACAATCAGAGACCTTTGGCGCGGTGAATTATGAAAACAAACAAACAACAAGGGTGACAACAAAAAGTAAACACAAAAAAGACTCATGAAATTGGGGCATAACAACTCATCAAGAAA